AAAAAAAAAAAAAAAAAAAAAAAGAAAAAAAGAAAAATCCGTCCAGATTTATTTCCCTGAAAAGTATTACATACAGAAAGATTATGATGTTTTTATCCTCGTTTAAAACATTCATTTTTTAACTTCGTAGAATCGAAATTAATTCTTCGGTAAAAAATTTCGCGCTTTGACAAATTTTCCATCCCATTTTGAAGATTCGAGCAGGAGGGGAGGGGGAGTAAAGTTTTATTCGCCGAACATCACAATTCCCCGAATGTTCGAATTCTCTCTACTGTCGAGAGAATCGAGATTCGCGAGAGGGTATTCATTCATCAAAGGGTGAAAAAAAAAAAAAGGAAAAAACCCAAGGTGATTCATAGTCATCCCGTACTAATTTCTAGTTTCTAAACATAGAACAGAAACGCGGACTGCGTTTTCCCCTCCTCCCTCGACGCTCGTGTATCTTAACTGCCATTAATCCACATTATACCGTGCATCTAATCTCTTCGAATAACAAGAGCGTTTGCGTTTCTCGTGTTACGAGAAAGGAACGACTCGGAATAATCTTCTTTGCTCTCGAGATTAAGCCATTAGCATCGGCCGTGTCATTATCAAGATTCAGAACGTTAATTCGTTCGAGGATAATCGTGGGACACAATTTTAAGCCTCCAGGGTTTCGATCATCCGATTGAATATCGGCTTAATCCATTTCGCGTCCACCATCGATCTTATTTTATCCCTCTTCTTTATCACTCGTTACCAATCGTTAACAATCTTCGAAATCGATACAAACAGAGAGAGAGAGAGAGAGAGAGAGAGAGAAAGAGAGAGAGGAGCATCTTTCTTGCGGGAAGAAAACGAAGGAACTAACCGTTGCCGCATCTCTGCACGCAGTGGCAGGAATGAAATTAGAATTCATGATCTGTCAAAAAGTTGGGCCATTAGGTGGGCAAGCGGAAACTATTAGATGAAAAGCACGAGGCTGGTCGATTGCGCTCGCTACGTCTGTCAGGAAGGATGAGGAGGAGGAGGAGAGGATTTCGCTGTGACGGGAACTCGGGGCGAGATTTATTCCAGGCGAAACTCTGCCGGCACGTCCCACGCAACTTTTTTTCCCCCCTCCCCCTGTTTCGCGAGAGAAGAGGATCGATGGTTCCGGTTTTCGATGCGGAACGGTTATTTATCTTGGCGGATTTTTTTTTTTTTTTTTTTTTATTTTTCAAACGGATATTTTTCACCTTTCGGACGACGATTCCCTCGAATTTCAAACATTGAATTTCTTCTGACGTCAAGTTCGGAGGCAAGGATTAACAAAGGGGAAAAATTAACTCTTCGACTTGTGTGCTGGCGGAGAAGTTGTTTCAACTTGAGAGAGAAGGGAAGAAAAGAAGAGAAAAAGAGGCGAGATATGGGTACACCATCGGTTCGAGAAGTACGAATAAGAAGGGAAGCGAATTCCCTTCGTTTGTTTTTTCGGAGAGAAAAAGGACCGTCCCACGCTGCCACGCTAAAATATCACGAAACCCAATTCAGACGGGGTTCGTCAAACATCCCTTACCTTCGAATCGACAAAGAGAATCGACTCCTCGTCGAGGAGGAGGTACTCTTTTGTCGAGACAGACGGTACCAGAGCTCAAAGAGTCTTACGAAGTTTATCTCGAAAGACGAGATAAACCGGTCGACGTCTCGGGAAACTCGTGTCATATCAGACGTGGCCGAACATCGTTCCATGGATCTTTCACCCTTCTTTTATCCTTCGAAACGTTCGTTTCAATCCTCCCCTCCCCTCCTCCTCCTCCCCACTGGAGAGTCAGAAAAATTCGATCTTTCTCGGGATCGGGATGGCATCGACACCGACAGCCCGCCAGGAAATGAAATTCTGGGACGGGGATGGGCCGAGAAACGGAAAAATATGACGTGGAGCGAAATCGTGCGACGATTTTTTCCAGGGGAAAAGAAGGCTCGTGGTGACTTTTGCGAGGGTGGGGGAGGGTGAGGTTCATTCGGGCCACATAATTCCCGCGATACCTCGGCAAGAGGAAAGCTCTCTTTAATTAAAGCCCGTTCCCCGTCA